CCCAAAAGGGGCTCTGAGCTCTCCCTGTGTCCTTCCCTTCTCCAGGGGAACATTCCCAGCTCTCCTGGCTCCAGAGGAGCTCCACAATCCTGGAGCAGCTCCAGGGCCTTGTCTGGATTTTCTCCAGCAGCTCCACATCCTCCTGAAGTTGGGATTTGAGAGGTGGATGTGGGGCAGAGGAGCAGAATTCCCCCCTTTCCCACATCCTTCTCCCGGCCCCAATTTGTGTTGGGATCGCCCCATCCCAGCTTCTCCCACCCTTGGCCTTGCTGAGCCCCACGAGGTTCCCCCATCCCCGCTCCAGGAGCTAATTAGCTAATTAGCCTTCTCTCCCATTCCCAATTAGGCCCGGACCCCGCTGCTCGCCCATTCAGCCTCCGGAGGGGCCGGCACACCGGGAGCCCCCTCCCCGCCTTTTGTCCCTTTATTCCCAAAGTGACCATCCGGCCTTTTATTCCTGTTCCCTTCCCAAACCTCTCGCACTTCCCTTCCCCCAGAAGGAGTTTCTGGGATCTTTTCTTTTCTCCCATGTCCCCTCAGCCACCCTGGAGCCACCCACGGGGGATGGGGACATTGGGAGTGTCCCTTCCCCTGGCAGGGGGGTGTCCAGCTCAGTCCCAAGGGCCGTCACCCCCTGGGGACACTCCCGGCTTCCCTGGAAGCCTGTGGCAGCAGCGATTGGGGTGACAGTGGGTCATCGACAGAGTGCTTGGGTGATATGGAAATGGAGCCATCCATGAATTTATCCCATCCCTTTATCCCATGATTTATCCCATCCCTTTATCCCATGAATTTATCCCATCCCTTTATCCCATGAATTTATCCCATTCCTTTATCCCATGCATTTATCCCATCCCTTTATCCCATGAATTTATCCCATGCATTTATTCCATTTGTTTATCCCATCCATCCATCCATCCATCCATCCATCCATCCATCCATCCATCCATCACTGTCCATCCCTTTCTATCCACCCCTCCATCCATCCATCCATCCATCCCTGGAATCCCGGAATGTTTTGGGTTGGCAGGGACCTTAAAGCCCATCCGGTTTCATGGGTTTCACCTCCCGCTATCCCAGGTTGCTCCAAGCCCCATCCAGCCCAACTTTGGACCTGTGCCCTCAGCCATGCCCGGGTCTGGGATGCTCTGTCACGATAGGGGTGGAAATCACGACAGCAATGACAAGGGACGGCCCAGAAAGGGGATCGGGATGGGGGAGGGAGGAGGAGGAGGAAGAGGAAGGGAAGGAAAATGAAGAAGAGAAGGTGGAGAAGGTAGAAGAGAAGAGGAAGAGAGAAGAGGAGGAGAAGGAGAGGAAGGAAAAGGAGGAAGAAGAGAGGAAAAGGTGGAGTAGGAGGAGGAGAAGAGGAAAAAGGACAAGAAGAAGAAATAGAAGGAGGAGGAGAAGAGGAGGAGGAGGAGAGGAAGGAAAAGGAGGAAGAAGAGAGAAAAAGGGGGATTAGGAGGAGGAGAAGAAGAAGGAAAAGGACAAGAAGAAGAAATAGAAGAGGAGGAGGAGAAGAAGAAGAAGAAGATGATGAAGAAGGGAAGGGAGAGGAGAAAGAGAAGAAGAGGAAGAAAAATGAGGAGGAGGGGAAGGAGGAGAAGAAGAAGAGAAGGAAGAGGAGGAGAAAGAGAAGNGAGGAGCAGAATTCCCCCCTTTCCCACATCCTTCTCCCGGCCCCAATTTGTGTTGGGATCGCCCCATCCCAGCTTCTCCCACCCTTGGCCTTGCTGAGCCCCACGAGGTTCCCCCATCCCCGCTCCAGGAGCTAATTAGCTAATTAGCCTTCTCTCCCATTCCCAATTAGGCCCGGACCCCGCTGCTCGCCCATTCAGCCTCCGGAGGGGCCGGCACACCGGGAGCCCCCTCCCCGCCTTTTGTCCCTTTATTCCCAAAGTGACCATCCGGCCTTTTATTCCTGTTCCCTTCCCAAACCTCTCGCACTTCCCTTCCCCCAGAAGGAGTTTCTGGGATCTTTTCTTTTCTCCCATGTCCCCTCAGCCACCCTGGAGCCACCCACGGGGGATGGGGACATTGGGAGTGTCCCTTCCCCTGGCAGGGGGGTGTCCAGCTCAGTCCCAAGGGCCGTCACCCCCTGGGGACACTCCCGGCTTCCCTGGAAGCCTGTGGCAGCAGCGATTGGGGTGACAGTGGGTCATCGACAGAGTGCTTGGGTGATATGGAAATGGAGCCATCCATGAATTTATCCCATCCCTTTATCCCATGAATTTATCCCATCCCTTTCTCCCATGAATTTATCCCATCCCTTTATCCCATGAATTTATCCCATCCCTTTATCCCATGAATTTATCCCATCCCTTTATCCCATGAATTTATTCCATTCCTTTATCCCATGCATTTATTACATTTGTTTATCCCATCCATCCATCCATCCCTCCATCCATCCATCCATCCATCCCTCCAGCCATCCATGGAATCCTGGAATGTTTTGGGTTGGAAAGGACCTTAAACCCCATCTGGTTTCA